GGATTCCTTCCTTTAGAAAATGCCATTTCTGGTAGTCATCCTTTCCTTGCTTACTTGTGTTGATGACCTAGATAAGATGACTTTTTGCTATCAGAATTCCCATCTTCTACACAGCACATCAAAACAGAAAGATTCAGAAACTGTCTTGACCTGATGAGGATTCTTGATTAGTTACTTTCTTTAGGTCTTGGTTGTGTTGTCTCTGTTATGCTTATGAGAATATGCATGAACATTGAATGTAGGCTGTAATACACTAATTTTGAGTGTATCTATTACATTCTAAATCAAAAGATCAAGGTGGTGAAATTTTTTGGTGACAACCACAACATATCAAAATTATCTGTGAATATTTCCAGCAGGAATTCTAAATCCATTTACGTACAGAGCCAGCCAGATAAGATAAATGTCTTAAGGAGCCTTAGGGTGTGAGACAATTGAAAATGGTAGGTCTAGTGAGAATTGTACTGTGCTGCCCAAGACTCTTAAAAACATTTACTTAAAAATCAGTTTAAAAAGCGTGGGGGACCTGCGTGGCTCCGTTGGTTAAGTGCCTGCCTTTGGCTCAGGTCATGATCTCTAGTACCTAGGATGATGCAGCTCCCAGCTCCTTGCTCAGCAGGGAGCCTGCTTCTCCCTCCAGCCTGCCGCTCCCCCTGCTCGTGTTCTCATTCTCTCTCTCTCTCTCTCTCTCTGTCTTTCTCTCTCTGACAAATAAATAAATAAATCTTTAAAAAAATAAATAAAAATAAAAAGCAAAACCCATAATGAGCAAACAGACCCTAAAACACTATTCTGGCTAAACCCAATAAATTGGTCACTTGAATGTCTTTGTTTCTGTAACCACACAGAGACGGTAAGTGTTGCAAAAGTTATGCAGTCCTGGGGGCCACAAGTCTTGGTTCTAACATTTCCTAGTTGTCAACTTTGGGATTAGATATTTGGTAAAAACATACCTGATGAGGATTAAATAAAATCATCAATTTGAAAATACTTTGGTTAACTATAAATTGCAATGAAAATGTTAGCTGTGTGCCTATATACATAACTGATGGCTGGTAAATGCAGGTCGCCAACAAGGGCTTCCACTATTTGTGGTTTCTTTCATACTGATTTGATTTAATTAGCAGCTAGGCGAGAAGGCACACCTTTTTATTATAAGAACTGTGATTATATTACCAACCTTTTTTCTTTTAACTAGAACTTACTGTTACTGTTGTTTAGACCCCATGTGACAAAGAGCTGGTGCTGGGATAATTCTTTCTCTCCTATTCTCCTATAATCCTTTGTGTTGTCATCCTGTGAAAAAGGTGATATCAGATAATAAACTCTTGGTGAGACTTATTTGTGATATTTGGGAAAATGAATTCAGGAGTTATTAGATAATATGTCATGGGATTTTCCCACCCAGGAACAAAGATTTGGGTAGTTTGGATTTGAGTACTAAGGGTCCTCCTTTGTTAAACAAAAGTAAATAAGTAAATGTAAATCTTATAGTTGGACGTGGTCAGACAGTTAAAATGTTATCTTACCACAGGTTTGTGTTATTGAGAATGTATTAAGTATCTGACTCCAGATACTCAATTTCTTTGAAGCCGGGAATATGAACTGTTTTTGGTTTTGTTTTGTTTTGCCGTAAAAGTTCTCATTTCATTAGGTATGGGAAATCTCATGGCCCTGTCTCTTACTGTGGACTTTGTCCCCGTGTACTAGTACTTTTATTTTAAAAAGGTTATTTCCTACTTGAACTTGATTCTCCTCTGTTTAGCAAAAAAGCTCTCTTGTGTCTGGGAAATCTTAATAAAAGATGTTGTTGTAAGAGCAGGGGAAAATTATCATACTGATTTACTCTTTACAATTTCCTTTTTTCTTTTTTTTCCCTCTAATTTTTTTTTTTTTTAATTACTGGAGTCAGACTTTTTGAATCTCAGGCATTTGATTAATCAAGTCTTTTAAAAATGTTTCATCTTTTGGAATAGTGTTTTCTCTGCAGTCCCTCTACTTGATAATTGCCAAATAAATATTATTTTGGCTTAGGCCTGCAACATTCATCAACACTTCTCCATTTGTTGCATTAAACCCAAAATTCTTTACTTCAGTGTAATGTGGAAGGGAATGATTGGATTTGGGGATAAGCAGGGAGGAGTATAGGAGATAATTAAAATTTGATTCAATTCATTCTTTCCCTGAAATGCATTTAGGCAGAAAACATCATAGTTTCTTTGCTTTTGCTGAACTTCAAGGAATCCTAGGACACCCCTTTCACATTTCCGAGCTGGTTTCTCCAATGACATGGCTTCCTGATAGTCTTTAACAAGTCGTTTGCTGTGATTTCAGCTTGCCATGAAAATATGTGGAAGAATACCAACATAATAATAAAACTAAATTGTTAAATTCAGCATTTATTTAAATTAGATATTACACATTCAATTAAACTTTCTTGCTGAGAAAATTTATGACTTGTGAAAAAATGGATTGAAACTATACATGTATTTCTGTGAATGTTTGGAATGTTAGAGAACTTCTTGACTTACTTGTTAAGTGTTTTAATTTTCTGAATTTCTGGTTGTCAACCAGACATGTTACCTGAAGATTTGCTAAATTTTCGTTAAGAAGTAGGGTCCTCAGTTTGCTAATTGTCTTGTAATATTTACACCAGATATTTGAAAGATTATTAGGCTGCTTCAGCAACCTAACTGGCTTGTAAGAAAATAGACTTTGCGACATTATGGAGCAAAATCTGATTTTTAGTTCATTTGAACCAGGTGTTGGTGGTATAGCTCAATGGTAGAGCATTTGACTGCATTTGAACCAGGTTTTGAGCACAACTGAAGATTACTATTCACTCCTTTAGAGGAAGAGCGAAAATGGAAATGAACTTTGGGGGTCTACAGTGGTGTAAATATCCAGCTGGGAATGTGAATTTTCCATTTAGAAAAGCCTCAGAGGACAGTAACACCTCTTTCCACTACCACTCCTCCTCCCCCAACTATTCCCATCTCACCCCATAAAACCTGGATATTTAAAGAATGCGTGTTACTAAGATTCACTACCAGAGATTAGTCTTTTCATCTTTAGGTGGAACCTTCTTCCCACTTCTCTTTTGGAGATCACCTGGACCTGAGTCTAGTAACCCAGAGGACCTTCTTGTAAGGATGGTTTTGCCAGGTAATGAGAGCCTTGATGTTGGCTTCTTCACTGGCTCATCTTGGATATTTAGAGGTGACAGGCTCAATTAATTATTAACTTCATTTCTAGCTCTGCCTGTTATTTTATCTCCACTGTCAGTCTGCTTTCCTACTGAGGGCTCATCAGGGCATTTGGAAGGGGAAATTGACCTAGAAGTTAACATCCCCCTATCTGGGATATGATGGGATTTTCTTTTCTCTCTTTCCCTACTTTCCATCTTTCTTACTTCCCACCCCACCCCATATCCCTTGGGATTAAGACAATCTCTGGTGAAATAAAGAGCTGGAAACTTGATGATCATAACAGCTCAAAATTCTGGAGATGGTCCTTTGTCTTGGAGATAGTCCACTCTTCAGAAATAGAGATTTAAAGCTTTCTCACAGAAATACACAATGAGAGCCATGTTGTTCGAAACAATGGGCAAAACTTCAAGGTTGGAACAGTGACCTAGTCGGTCCTAGAGAGATAGAAAGACCCAGGACATCATGGGGTTTGAGGAGGTGGGGAGGAGAAGGGACCAGAGAGAATGGATTTCTGAAGTGGATTCTATAAGGGCTGAAGCACACTCCATGGAAGAGGTTCTTTTTGGAACCATGGAAAAGTACCTTGAGTCATTTTCTGGTGTAGGTGTGTGCTCATGATCAGGGAGTTGTAAATTGGTTTCATTTCAGATCATGGACTGCACCTGTACATACTTGCTGACATTACATGTGAAACTCTGAGATTATATACAAATATAGGAAGATTCTAGCTTTGTATGAAACAGTACTTACTGGCAGAATCTGTGTGTTTTGTTTTGGAATGAACACCTGAGTCAGTGTTGTAAAGCTATTAGGAGCCAGAAATTCAATCACTCCCCTCTCCCTGCCTTTTTTTAGTCAGATTTGGAATCTTTGTTTTATAGATAGTCAGGATCCATAACCAGATTATGTACAAGTTACATTTTGTAGAAGACACTTCCCACTGATTTGCAAGAAGCAATTTTCCTTTTGGGAAAAGTCTTTTTTCTGGGAATGAAAGTGTGACAGCTCTGCTTGAATTCTGCCCCACACCAATGTATCTTAAATTGTAGGAACTGAAATAACATTCAGCAGGAATACCGCCTGTGTTAAAATGCATGTTCCTGGGGCCTAAAACCAAAGACCAGAAATTTGAATTCTTGCTGTTTACTCATGCTCAGTAAATTTGAGCCTTTGTTAAGGAGCATTAACCAGGTTTACTCTGTGTTAAATTCTCTCTTCCATTTCTTATCTCCCTTCCATTTGAGGAGATTCATGTGTGTCTATGAACTCTTGCATTATAAAAGTAGTGGTGATTCTCATGTTTGCTGTGATATTTCTGACTTTTATTGTTGTCTCTGGTAGACAGAAGAGTTTCAGGGAGTATTTGTTGAACTGGTCTAATTAAATCAAGAAGTAGTGATGTAGTCAGACTTACGGGAGAGCTAGAGCTGTTTGCCTGAGTCATTCTGTACTAGCCCAGTAAGAATTAAGTCCCAAAGTCTTCCCCAAAGTTAGTGCCTAACTGCTCCCTTTTTGTGGGAAATAGTTTACTTGAAGGGGATGCGTGAAAGAGGAATGGGATACAATTCCTTCTAGCCCATTAAGTACAGGGTAGCTTTCCTTTGCCCATCCTTTATTTTTCCCGACATAATTTTGTGCTGTCCGCACCTCCTTGATACAACAATAACAAAAAAGAGTATATTTTGTTTTGGTCTGAGTTTTGGTCCATCAGGAAAAATCAGTGTTGTCTGTTTTCCCAAGGAGATGTTGTCCCAGGACACTTTTCCCAAAGGACCACAGTGCTGATTCACCCATTCTTTATTTATTTTTATTGCTTTAATTTTATTTCACTTCTCTGCTCGCTAAATGCTAATAAGAGACATGCCATAAAGAAATATAGTCTAGAGGACATGAAAAAACAGACCTCATGGCTGTTTACTCTGCTGGCAATGATTCTACTCTTCCGTACCCCCATTTTCCCCAGTTTGAAGCTTGCCTTCCATGACAGTTTTCTGTCCACAGGTGAGCTGCTTATGGATACAGGTATGGTGCCACCTTGCAATGTGACAAACCTCTGATAAGACAATGATACTATGTTCTTTGACCGTCAGTCTAGCTGCGTGTTTTTCTTTGTCCCATGGTTATCTGGGATATCTAAAAACAGTATTCTGCAAGTGTATAGGTTACCTGATGGCTGATGTCTGAAGGGGAAGTATTCAGGAATTACTCCTAAAGAATCCCCTTTGTTTTGTTTCCTTCCAATACAAAAGTTATGGGATCTATTCAAATCCATCATCTTGAACTTGAGTTTGCTACTGGGGAGACTAGCTGGGTTCTGGACTTTGCGCTGGCGACACTTAATAAACATTTATTTTTTCTTACTAGGAATCCTTACATATCTTCATCAGAGACCACGGGGGTGACACTATTATTAAAGAAAATTGGGGCTTCTTGTAAACATTCTGGAGTGTCCTCAACTTCTTGGAAGGGCTGGGATCCCCGCTCAGCTTCCAGCTGCTGAATTTTCCTTTCCTTTTCCTCTAAAACATCTTCCAGCTGGGTGATCTTCTCAGTCTGAAGGGAAACCTGTGTCGACAACTCCATAATCAGGTTAATTTTTCGATCACCTTCTTCCACAGGCGGGAGACCACCACAGGACTCTTCCCGAGCATTGTCTTCTAGAGCAAAGAAGAAAAAGAAAGTTTGAGCAGTTTTAATTGGATTTCCCAGAACTCAAAAGAGAGGGAAGATGAAAAAGCTTTATTTCTCACGTTCTTAAAAGGGAACACAGATGTTGCGTCATCTGGTCAGATAGACAGAGAATGGAATCTAGATCCGGTAAGGGGAAAGTTTCTGGGTGCTCATGAAAAAAGAACTTGGAAGCCTCCAGAGAGGGAGGAGAATCAGTTTTTGCCAACTCTTTTTTGTACACATTGAACTTTTAATTAACCATGGGAATGAGCACTCCTTGAAAATCCAATCTATAAACAACAGCCATCCCAAGTTTCACAGTATCCTTTTGCCTAAGAATCTTTCACAAGAGTGACTATCAAGTAGAGATATACTTTAAAATTGAATTTTCACTCAACTCGGAAAACAAAAAAAAGTTCTTATTGCCCCTTCTGGAGGTTGTAATGAGAAAAGACTAGTTCCTTAACCCAAGTCAGCTTTACAGTTGGCAGGGTGTAATTTGAGGTGATCCAGGAAAAGCTATTAGCATAGTATGTGCCATTGAGATTCTTTTTTTAAGGTCTGAAGCTTTTTCAGCATCTCTTAATAAAAATTACCAGTATCTCCTAGAGGGAAAAGCTTATCCTTTATAACTTCTGACCCCTCAGATAAGGATAAAAGCCCGAGGAAAGAGGGAGAAGGAGGCTTCAATAAGGAGATAAAATTTTGGTGGCTGACAGTAGGGAAACCTAAAAAAAAAAAAAAAAGAAGAAGTCCCAGTAGACCATCAAAAAATGTAGCTGCTAAAAGCAAACCTCATCCTACTGGGGTTTAGTACGATCACCCTCCTTTACCACTCTCATCCTGGAATTTCCACCATTAAAATCATGTCTCTATGTTACATAAAGTGCAGACATTAGTTGTAAGTAAGGGTTGTCAATTGCTTGGGTGTCATTGTAGGAATAATGGAGCTAATAGCATATGAATGAATGGTATTGACAACCGATTACTGTGGTTAAAGGTCCAACATTTACTCAGTCCTCAGTGAACACAAACCCCACAGCTGCACCCTAGGGAAATCTAACTGCAGGTCCAGGAGACAGATGCCTGCTACTATTGTGTGAAGATGGGGCAGCTTTGCTGTGATGGCCCATGCAGGCAGGGAATCACCCACTTCTCAGCAAATAAAACTCATTTTTGTTTGTTTGTTTTCTAATTTCCCCCGAGGGATCCTGGGATGAAAGCTTGAACACTGACGTGCACAGTGGCCAGGATGCTTTGGGCCTCCCAGAAGTGATGAGAAGGAAGATCAGGATGTTCTTTGCTCTTAGCAATTGTGCTTAGTGATGTCCTACATTTCGAGAATCCGGGGGGGGAAGTTTTTGTTCTGAAGATGGGAAATTTTAACACTAATACTGAAGGAGATGGTAGTTTGCCTGCCTTTCTTTACAAGCTATGAAAAAAATCTCCATATCTCAAAGGAGCATGTAGTTTGTTGTCTGAAATGAGATGTACTGTGAATATAAAATACACATTTGATTTTGAAGGCTTAGTGTGAAAGAAATGTGAACTATCTCATTAGATTTTAAAAATTGGCTATGTGTGAAAACAATATTTTGGATCTGTTGTGTAACATAAGATACATTTTAGGACAATATTCACTCATTCGTTTTTCTTGTTTTAAAAATGTGGCTCCTAGAAAATGGAAAATTTTGTATGTGGCCTGCATTGGTGGCTCTCACTTTTCTGATGGCTGGTCTTGGGCTTGAGTTTCCTTTTGGAGAAGCACTTTCTGAAATCCAGGAAGATGGGTTCCTCATAGGTGGCTCTAGCTAACATGTATGGTTGTTATTTGGGAGGGAGGATTGTTGACTCTCAACCGTTAGCACACAATTCATTTTTCTGTTACTTCCAAATGTGGAGGTATGGAAATCTGGCTTGGGAGAGTGGGTTCTTGTGGGTTGAAGTGAGTTTCCATGGGAGCAGAGAGAAAAGACAGAAAGTGGCAACAAGAGGCAGTGAGAAGATAGAAAGGAAAGGAACAGTGGGCAGGATAGGGAAGGCAGGGCCTTTGTGAGGCTCCGGGATGGAGAAGGGCCTCGGAAGCCTCCCTCCTTGTTGGGCCGGTTTGTCCTCTTTCTCCTTGACCTCTTCTTCCGTTTTTTCTTTCTCCAGTTTTTCCTCTCTTTTCAGGAGGAGTTGTTTCCTACCAATTTACACGACTAAAAAAAGGTGTTTAGTGTCATTACAGAAGGCAAACTGGTCAAAAGTGTTTGTTTTTAAAAGAATGCAATATAGGTGGAATACTTTGTTCATCTCATTCTAGTGATAAAGGGGTAAAAATGCAGCAGGATGGCATTACCTGGGAATTGCTGTTACTAGGTCTACATCTTCTGTCTCTGCCCTCCCAGAGAGAGTAATCGAGAGAGAAGGTAGAGAGAGAATGAGGAAGAGAGACTGGGTGTCTTGGTTAGCTCAGGCTGCCATAACACAATACCAAACTATTGCCAGGGGGCTTGAACAACAGAGATTTATTTTCTCACAATTGTGGAGGCTGATAGTTTGAGATCCAGGTGCAAGCATAGATGGGTTCTGGTGAGAACTCCGCCTAGTTTGCGGAGAGCAACCTTCCCACTGGGTACTCCCATGGCACAGAGAGAGACCACAAGCTCTCTGATGTTTTCTTCTAAGGTCACTCAACTCATGACCCTACCCTTATGGCCTCACTGAAACTTAATCACTCCCAAAGGCACCATCTCCAAATGCTGTTGCATTGGGGTTAGGGATTCAACATATTAATTTCACTGGGGACACAATTCAGACAATAGCACAAGTAAAAGACAATTGGAAAAGGAGAGTTAGCACAAGGGCCTTGATTCTCACTGTATTGTTTTCATGTATTAAATGAAAATGCTGATAGGAAGATAAGTTAAAGTGCATCTACATACCAGCTTTTTTAGATTCCCCATTTAAGTGATACCTTATAGTATTTGTCTTTCTCTGTCTGACATATTTTACCAAGCATAATGTACTTAAAACCTGACCTGATCGAAAAAGAGTGGAGTAGGATTTACTAAGAGATGGGGGATGGGAGAAGGAGGAATTGGAGAGGTATTGGTCAAAGTGTACAAATTTCTAGTTATAAATTCTGAGTAATGTGTAACATAATGATGATAATTAAAAATACTGTACTGCAAATTTGTAAGTTGCTGGGAGAATAGATCTTAAGTGTTTGCTTCACAAAATAGAAATGGTAATTCTGTGATGGGATGGTATTCTTAGCTAACTTTGTGGTGGGATTGTTTTGCAAAATACACGTGCATCTCGTGAATACATGGTACACTTTAAACTTACACCAGATTTTAGGCCAACTATAATCTCAATAAAACTGGGGAGAAAAAAAGATAAAAAGAAGTACATATACCAAGAAGGAAATTTCTCATACAGATATATTTTACTATTTAATGACCTCTTCACACCTACAATGAAAATATTTTTGTTCTGTTTCTAAACATATTACAAATCACAGAAACATTTTAAACTCTTCAATGAAGTGGGGAACTCCAGAATAGGGACTCATATCCTATCTGTAGTGGAAATAGCCAAAGCCACCCCAGTGATTTGTCCAGACTCCACCACTAATCTCTGCCTGATCTGCTGTGCCCCATTCTCCTGGAATCAAGGCTCCCTTACCCAGAAGCCCCTGACAGTTTTATTCATCCCCACATCTCAAACACTGGTGGTCCTTCCTAGATTTTCATTAGCAGCTCGTATAGTCTTGCCAAGGTCACATCTGCCTGAAGCATGGAGGATTCTGTCATCTGACCGGATAATCTCAGGAATGGTTAGCCCCATTCCCAGGGGCTCCAGGAGACACAGAGACAAGAGAAATTCTCCTGTCACAGGGAAGGAGAAAACCTGATTAGCCATAGTCAGGGTATGACATCACAATTGCTACCATTGCAGAGGTTTTTACAAGTACATGCTGTTTTTCATGATTTCCCCTCCTTCTGCTTCAATTTAAAATAGGCGTGAAGCAAGAATGAGAATGATGGCTTAGGGTCATGGTGACAAGGAAATGGGAGGTGGCAGTTGTGCAAGGTTAAAAAGGTTTAGAAAGAAGACAGACAACAGGGGCATTCTTTTGCTCACAGCTGGGGCAGGCTGGGCTCACTTTTTGATGTAGCCTTGAAAGACAAAAGGCCCAGAAAAAATTGTGCCATTTGCCTTAGACCATTTCCAGCTTCTTATTCTTAATAGCATTAAACCCTTCATGCTCTTAGCAAAGTGCTGTATGTTATATCAAAAATACCAGTAACTAAAGAGATAATAGCAGAGGTCATTATAGTTTGAGTAGCTTAGAGACTTAGACTCGGCTTGGAATTTGTATTTGGGACCATCTGATCTCACCTGCACATTACACCTGAACATCCCTATTAATTAGGGAATTCCATCTCCAACATCCCTAACTGATGCTTTTTTAAGTGGCTCTCAGGCATGAGTGTCTTCTCCTGCTCTTCATAGATCAACTGCCAGTAGTAATCAATGAGTAAAATTTGCCTTTTATCGTCAGTGTGGCTTCACGTTGTTAGAGAGATACCCGGTGGGTAGGAAGCTGTGACAGGCAGACTGAAGGAGAGCAGGATACGGCTTGTTGCTAATCAGAGAAAGGACATATGGTGTAATACTAGGTTCAAAGACCTAAATCACGTGGAGACATTGCTTTGTGCATCCGGGAAGTTAGTAATTTTGTGTCCACAGTGATACATTGCTGAAGGGTGACCCAGTGAATGTCTGGGAGGCTTTTTTTAGATTTTCTAAACACTTGTTTCTAAAAAATGGGTGTTTCCCCTTTGGAGCCCTTCACTCATGCCACCAGTGTAAAAATGTTGAATGAACACAGAAATGCTAAGAACCACTGATCTAGTTTCTGCTTCCCATGCCTTTCATGATGGGAAACACACATCTCCCCATGCAGGTCTCCACAGTCATTTTAAAAATTAATTCA